CAGCCACTCAGACCAGGAGGCCGATGGCCCAGCGAGTGTCCTGGCCCTAATCAGGGTCCCCCAGGAGCCAGCGGTCCTGACCGTCCCGAGTCCATATGGGAACGGCTGTACTGGCTCTGGGTCCCCCCAGTAACCGGCACCAGGGGGCCCTCAGCCAGGGCACCAGGCGCTCACCAAGCCCCGGCAGCCCTGGCCCACGGCTGTCAGTCAGCCCTCCTGGGGTGGGGGGGACCCCACCTGGCCCCCCTCCCGGCTGCGGGGTGCCTACTTGTAGTACTCGGCCGCCACGTCGAAGCGCCCCAGGAAGATGTGGGCGTTCCCCAGGTTGCTGTAGGCCCTCCGCTCGGCGGCCTTGTCTCCAAATTCCTTCGCCAGGATCAACACAGAGCCCAGTGCACGTGGTCCGGCCTCTGCCCAGTGGCCCCGCACAGCCACTCAGACCAGGAGGCCGATGGCCCAGCGAGTGTCCTGGCCCTAATCAGGGTCCCCCAGGAGCCAGCGGTCCTGACCGTCCCGAGTCCATATGGGAACGGCTGTACTGGCTCTGGGTCCCCCCAGTAACCGGCACCAGGGGGCCCTCAGCCAGGGCACCAGGCGCTCACCAAGCCCCGGCCAGCCTGGGGTGGGTGTCAGGCCGCCCGCCGCTGCCCACCCCGCCAGCTGCCACTCACCTCCTTGTGGAAGGTCGTGGCCTCCACGAAGCTCCCCAGTAGGTAGTGGGTGTTGCCCAGGTTGCCGTAGGCCCTGCCCTGGGCCGCCCGGTCACCCAGCTCCTTCACCAGGGACAGGTTCCTCCTGGGGGCGAGTGGGTCAGAGCCATGTCCCTCCCGTGGGGCAGCGGGGCCCTGTGACCGTCCCCGGGCACAGCGCGCTGAGCGGTCCCTTTAGCTCTGGTCCACTCGTTGCCGTCCGAGCTTCGAGGCTCGGGCCACGGCTCCCCCGTCCCCGACTGGGCCCAGGTCTAACCTCTATTCTAACGGGAAGAGTTCTCCCACGCCCGGGGGCTCGGCCAACACCCCGGCCCTGTTTCCAGCCAAATGTTGGGGTGCTTTTGGTAATCCTCACCCGAGGGTATTTTCCCAATGAGTTTTACAGAGAGAGCGGGAAGAGAGGGAGAGGAACAGCGATGTGAGGGAGACATCAATTGGCTGCCTCCTGCACATGCCCAGAGTGGGGCTGGGCACTGCCCCTGCAACCCAGGCATGTGCCCTTGACCGGGAATCGGACCTGTGACCCTTCAGTGTGCGGGCTGATGCCCGCCTGGCCAGGCCAGCCCATGCGCTGTAAAGGCCACACGCACTGGGTGAGCGGTTCCCTCCTCCCCACTGCGGTGGGCGAGCACCGGC